AGGCAATGGGAATTGCGGCGATCGGACACGTCGACTCTCCGAATTGCGAAGCTGGTGCGCGTAGGAGTGCGAATTGTGCAGAAGGCCACCCTAAGGCTCGGAAAGGTCCTATAGGAATTCATTTTGGGTTTCCTCATGTCAGTTTCATCCTTCTAAGTGTTAGAAGTCGATACCGCACACGCGAAACTCCAAAAGAGGACGGAAATAGGTCGAACTAAAAACGAGGCGGGCACCACTTCTAAGGTTCTAAGATAGTCGCAGGAAGACCCCTAAGGCTAGATCCTAACTCCTACGAGAAATACTAAACCTCACAAAAATTGAGGTCAACACTATGTTATACAAAACAACACAAAGAAAACCAAACCTTGCGGTTAGAAAAGGTGAAATGATCCAAAAGGTAAAGGTTGCATCGGACAAAATCCACCATGCTTGGACATCTAAGTAGGATAGTCAAGAATTATCAGGGTATTAGTCCCTAACCACCCAGGAAATTCCGTAATATCATCCTTGCCATCCATGAAAAAAAGAAAAACTCAAGCACTCATCTCCATGTCCTTAGATATGATCCCTCAATTACAAATCCTATGATTCTAAACTACTCGATGATATGAAATCCCATAACCTCTGAAGAATGCTGAATAGTAGACAGGCAGATCAAGAACCTATGCATGCTATATAGTAGACCTCTTGTCACCGTAGGAGGCTAAACTAATGCTAAGTGGAATCCTTTGAATGGCATTAAGAAGTATCAACGATTGCCCTATTTGAACCGCAATCCTTTAAGTGCTGAGTTTTCTAATCCTTTTAATGCTTTATTTGGCTAGTTTCACTACTGTTGAGACAAAAAGGTTCAGCCTCATGCTTAAAATCTAATGGGCCATTTACATACATATCATCTACTTCTTACATATTTACATGTCTAAAACCTTAACTTTAATTTTTACATTCATAACACCCAAATCTTTCATATCACATCAAAAATACCATCATATTAACTTTTAAAAAGTGAAATTTTAAAAAGTGAAATACTTTTCATGCATAGGGAAGGTGGCATGTAGGTAAAAATTGAATTTTAGGTGTTAGATATGTAAATACATAAGAATTGAGTAGTATGTATGTAAATCTAACATTACCCCATGATTCAATGATTAATGTTAAATGATTAATGTTAAAAGAGTGACCATAATGGCATAAATGACTGCACATAAATCAATAATAGAATAGTTAACTTACCTTTTTCTTCTGCTCATCACCCAGAGTTCCAGGCATGGTAACATCAAGCATGTTCATTATTACAGTTGCAGTTTGCGTGACTTGACCTGCTTCGCTGCTGATAGGGTTTGCAACATCTTGAGTTGTACCATGCTTCTCAATTTGGCTATCTTCTGTTTCACCTTCATCAAACCTCTCATTCTCATAAAATTTGCTTTCTGATTTCCTGTGACCTACAGCATTATCATAAAGTGTGTCGCCATCTCCAGTAAATTCAGTGTTCCGTGGGTGAATAAGGAAACCATTTCCATTCTCCGAATGGTTGAGTTTCATGAAAGAATCCATATTTCCATAATTATGCTTTAACAATAACTGAGAATGATCAAAACTAGAAACAGACTTCCCTCGTGCTCCAAATGTAGGCCCGTTAGAAGGTTTAATGGTGATATCCACATCATTTAGAAGGGGATGACGGCCCTTCAGAAGAGCATGCTCCACTGCTGAAAGCCACTGGAGCAGTCATGTCAAAAAACAAGAAGGAAAAAACGAAAATTTATCAAGTACAAGGTCAGTGAAGCATAAAAGAATTAGAGAAATCCAACAGAACGGAGTCAAAGTAACGCTAGCAGTAATATGAGAACTGCTTAGAAATGTTTGGAATTAAAGTGGCGTATTGAAGCGACTTTGCATGGGATATCTTGGATCAATTATACCTCACAAATGGTGTGATTAAGCATATGAGGGGAGTTATGTGGAACAGAGAAACAAATATTAGGAGGGATTCTAAGCCTAATCCCACACCAATGCAATTCGCTAAATTCATGGGAAACAAAGAATTAATGTCATGGAAAAGAACCATGATTCACATGATATTTAATATCGTAGAGTAATTTGCGCAGATAATGGAAACTAATACTCAGTGTATCAGTTGTGCAATACTATATTAGGTTGAATCAAATTTAATAATAAGCAAAATTGTCTACAAGTATTTTTTTTCTTTTATAATAAGGAAGAATATATATCCAGCTGAACAACTATATAATTACGAAAGGCACTTGTTTTTAAGAGAAAAAATATTAAATCTCATCTTTGAACAAGAAACCATGATTAATACAAGCACAGCAATTCCATATGAACTGTGCTGAGGACTATTTGAAGGTTATTTCAAAAACAAAATTATGAAGTCCAAATTTGAACTAGCAGTATAAAAGAGAAAAAAAATAGAAGGATGAAAAAAAAGTGAAAGAAGAGGGGCAGAAGGATACAAACAATTCAATCTTAATGGAGACATATAAACCATAAATCTAAATTAAACAGAAATTTGACGCCATGTTGCTGTTGCAGATATGGTGCTCGTTGTTAACAATGGTGATAAAACAATATATTTATTGAACCAGTAGAAATTTATTAAACAGTACAAAAATAAAGAGACAACTCGAAGCAAATAGAGGATGTAGATACTCAGGAGGCACTATTATGACATGAACCATGCAAGCGGTAATAATTGAGATTGTTAAAATAAGGTAAAAATTCAAATACCTCAATTGCAAGTTGTTGACTCCAAAGAAGAGCAGATCGGTCCCCTCTTCTAATAGTTGAATGTGAAGAAGAACAAAGAAGCAGGCTTGTAAATGGATTATCAGTGATGGAATTACGTGGAATAGAGAAAAGTGGTACAGCTCCATCATCCCCCTGAACAGATCACAAAACAACAAAAAATAGCATTTGGTTTAAATGCTTAATTTTACCGCATAAGTAAAATATTGAAAAAACTATCTTCAATGAAAGCAAAAACACACAGGAAATAGAACCAGAAATCTATAAAAAAGCTTGACATAATGTGAAAACAGGTTAATAGACTTACTTGATATGGATACAATGGAAACCTCATACTACAAGTAGATGTAAATAAAATTATAAGGACATCATTGTCAACATTGCCGACCCCACATAGTGGGATTAAGGCTTTGTTGTTGTTGTTGTTGTTGTTATCATTGTCAACATTGTGCGGACCGAGGATTTATAATTATGCTTAATCAGAAGAACATTTAGCTTTGAGTACTCTAGCCAAGGTTCCACTCAGTTTCTTAAATATTTTCTAGATAAAATTCAAATATCAGAGGATTTGTTAGTGAATCCGGACAGTTCCATCAGATGCAACCCTAGGTAGAAAACGCATTAGAACCCAACTAGCAAGCTAAATGATGCGCTACAGGTTTTAAATATTAGTAATTCAGGCTATTGTATAGTATTCAAGAACCCTTCACAAAGGGGTTTCCCAACATATAGGCAAAACGGGCATGGAAGAAATTTTTTTTTTAGCGCCAAAATATTATAACAAGAAAACGATACAAGTACATCAAGGATAATTAACACAAATTGCCTGAGAAAAAAATTGAAAAGTGCATAGCAAAATTGCTTATATGAATATCATAGCTCGTAATCTAGAGCAAACAGAGGAGTGATGATAAGATTTTTCCTGATTCCTGTCTCAACTGGTACAAAAAATATCTTCCACTAATAAAGTAAGAAGTTAACAATGTATGTATTATCATTTGAATTATATGGATGTAGGGCATCATGGTCATCATTGTGCTTCGACGTAGGTGAAGCTAGACATCTCTCTTGTTGATTCGAAGCTTGATGAATCAGCGACGTATCTGAGTTGGTTGTGTCAGATCAGAGTTGTTCTACTAAGGAAGAGACTAGAAGGATGTCTTACGGGAATCGAGGCTAAGCTAGAGATGACGGCGCTGAAAGGGATAAGTGAAGGATCACGCATGCCTTACTTTACACATGACTTCTCAACTCGATGGTTACATTGATTGTCTCATCAGTGGATGGCATTTAAAATGTGAAAAACATATGGGCAAAGTTGAAGAGGACTTATCCAGGGACTGAGAATCACATGAGGGTGTTCCAGATTCAGCGTGACATAGAGGAAATGGTATAGGATGATAGATCGATTCAGAATTATTCGATAGAACTGGAGGGGTTGTGGGCAAATCTTGATCACTTCTCACCACTGACGAGTTGTAGTGATCTGGGATATAATAAGGGGGAGATATTTGCATATATAAGTACTATGCACTTTGTAGCTCATCTGAACCATGCTTTTGATCATAAGAGATCATTCCTCCTAGCCCAAGCAACACTCCCATCATTGGATGAGGCCATCGATGCGATGATAAAGTAGGAGAGTCGCATGAGGCTGCACTCTGAGCCAAGTGGACTTTCAGGTACTCGATCAGCGTTGGCTGTCTCGAGCTCAGGCATGACAGCGGTACTGAAGACTCGCAAATGCTACAGCTATAGTGAAGTAGGTCATCTGAGCCACCTAAGAAGAGAAAAAGACGGGTGGACGTGAATAGTTTGGAGGTCGTGGTCGTGGTCGTGGTCGTGGTCGTGGTCGTGGTCGTGGTCGTGGTCGTGGTCGTGGTCGTGGTCGTGGTCGTGGTCGTGGTCGTGGTGGTTAAAGAGATGGAAGAGGAGGCTAAAGGGTAAATATGATGGTAGCAAAGGGCAACGAAGAAACAGGTGTGGCATTTACTAATGAGGATTATGAGTTTCTAGAGATGTTGAAAAAAAAGCAGAAAGCAGTAAGTGATAGGTCTGAGGATGTTTTCACCCCGTCATCATCAAGGGATAATATTGCTACTTATGCTCACTCTGACAAAGGTACTCGTGATATGCAATTCGTTACCTATATTTTCACCATAAGATCATCAGAATGGATAATAGATTTGGGTGCATCTCGTCATGTGACAAGTATTGCTAGAGAATTCTCTTCCTATTCACCTAGCAGTTCCAAAAAGCAGCCAGACGGTTGATGGTACAACTCAGCCTATAGTTGGTAAGGATACAGTGAGATGTACTGATTCTATAACTTTAACTAATGTTTTGCATGTTCATTCATTTCCAGTGATTATTTTATCAATTAGTGTCATTATTCTCCAACTAAAATGTATTGTTTCATTTGATATTCCTAAGATAATATTTCAAGAGAAATGGACGGGTCAAACACTTGAGACTGGAACTTGGCATAATGAATATTGATACTTAGATAGAGAGGGGATGTACTCAGCTTTGACATCATTTTTGCCTCTAGACTTTGATCTGGAATTTCGCCTTCCAGATCCCTCCTTCTCTTTCTTCCTTCCACGATCCTGCTTACCCTTAACATATAGACTGTCACCGTGAAAGCTTTCCCCTGCATTCTGCTTCCGCTGGTTGTGAGCCAACAACGCTGCAGTAATCTCATCAACTTTGATAGTCTCTTTCCCATATGTCAGAGTAGTCACCAGGTGTTCATAGGAAGAGGGCAATGAACACAATAAAATCATCGCTCGATCTTCATCCTCAATACTCACATCAAGCCGTGACAGGTCTGTGATTATTTGATTGAAGCCATTAACATGCTGCGCCAGATCAGAACCTTCCTGCATCTTTAGCCCATACAACTTTTGTTTTAGATACAACTTGTTCGTCAGAGATTTTGCATAAACTGAGCTTCCAATTTCTTCCAAACTTCTCCTGGAGATTTCAGATTCATCATGTGATACATAACCTCATCCGCTAGGCATAGTCGTATCGTCGCTGCCGCTCGTTGTTGCAATTCTTCCCAATCTTCATCCTCCATGGAATCTGGTTTTGTTGCCCGCAGAGCTTTCAAGATTCCCTGTTGAGCCAACAGATCTTTCACCCTGGTTTGCCACAATCCGAAGTTACCAGTTCCGTCAAACTTCACCACCTCGAATTTCGCACCAGAAAATGTCATCTGAAAATTATTCCTGCAACAAAACTTTCTGTAAAAAATTCTTCTGCAAAAATCCTTGGAACCTTTTTTTTTTTGAAAAGAAGAAAAAAAAATTTCCTTTTTTTTTTTCAAAGAGGAAAGTCTTAATTAAATTTCTTTAATTAAGTTTCTTAATTAAAAACTTTTACTTCCCTTTCCAGCAGGCTTCAGCAGCGGACCCGGCACACGTTACAACCATAGAAAGGAATATGGAGGGGAATATTCTTCAAAGATTCCTCCTCCTCCCCTCCTTTCCCTTCCTGACGCCCTCCGCTCCTTTCTTGTTTTGCTCGGCCAGATCCTTCCTTTCTGGCAGCGCTTCCCGCGGTGCCTCCTGCGCACAGCTTTCCGAGATCCGAGACGACCTCCTTATCGCTCTGCCCGATCGCAGCCTCCCCGAAGCTGAAATTTCCGCCGCTGCGCCGCGATCGTCTGAAGCCGCGATTCACGATCTCTCTGTCCCGCGCGTGAGGCTCTCTGTCGCCGACCGAATTTCTTCTTGCGCCGATAAAAATTTTCTTCCTCTCGAACCTGTCTCTGATACCACTTGTTGAGAAAATTAGGGCGAAGAAAAATAATAACAGACCTGTCATGGCTTGATGTGAGTATTGAGGATGAAGATCGAGCGATGATTTTATTGTGTTCATTGCCCTCTTCCTATGAACACCTGGTGACTACTCTGACATATGGGAAAGAGACTATCAAAGTTGATGAGATTACTGCAGCGTTGTTGGCTCACAACCAGCGGAAGCAGAATGCAGGGGGAAGCTCTCACGGTGACAGTTTATATGTGAAGAGTAAGCAGGATCGTGGAAG